GATGAGAATTTAAGAACATTTTTTGTTGAGTTTCAACACATACCAACCTTTGCCAAATACGTGATTTTTGGATGGGCTAGAATTACTTGTCCTTGGAGAAGATTATGGCATCGAATTGGTAGTTTATTTGCTTGTGGGAGTATGGATACAACTAACCACGTTGAAAGACATTGGGAGTTGATTAAATACACACTCTTACAAGGAAAAGTGAATCGGTTTCTCCGAAACCTTATTGTGGAAATTGTTGGTAGTGCCTAGAATGACACTCGTGTGGGCCAACTCAAATTAATGAGTCAATTGAAAATGATTCAACATTGAAATAAGTTTCTCATCTTTGTATATTATTCTATGTTTATTTTATTGTATTACATTTTTTGTAAATATATTATCTTTTGAACATGATGCTAAGTTCAAATCTTTTTTTGGAACTTGTAGGTGACTCAAAACGATACATACTGAGAGGAAATGATCAGGCTCATAGACGTTGATTGAGAGGAGTAGAACACATTTTGAAGTCTTATCAATCTTGTACTATGGATATTTTGAAGTTTGGTGATGATGAGCATCTACTCTTTCATGTCAAGAGTGAGACTTCTCCTAACCTATGGTATAGTGTTTCATTAAAATCACATTATTGTGATTGTACCTATATGGTCTCCATTTGCAAGCACATACTTGGTGTGCAATCGATTGTGAAGTTATTTTTTGAAAGACTCAAAGAAAATGAAGTGGTTGAAGAATCATTGACTCAAAAAATCAACATGGAAGACATGGAGCTTATGACTCCGACTCAACCGGATGTACCAAGGGAGAAGGCTCTTTTGATTGATGTCATGCGTTAAAAGTCGTTCAACATGATATGTGAAATCAAATCACTATGTCAAACAACTCTTTATGATGACAATGAAGAAGAGGTGAAGCAAAACTTCTAAGCGCTTCAAGCTTGTTTGGCATATTATTGGAGACTTCAAATTTTGAAAGGTCCAATATAATTACTCTTCCACTTTGAGGTTCTATTACTTCCATACAAGAGAACGTGAAACGAACGAGAATGTGACCTGGGAAGACACCTAAGATTTAGGAAGTGGTGAAACAAGTGCTTCACAACCCCCTTTGAAGCGCTCTTCAGATGTGCTTTTTTCACAATCCAAGCAAAAAAGTATGAATTTTTGTAAGCTTCCCAAAGTCACTTGTGACATTTGTGCTACAAAAGGAGTAGTAAATTCTATTTTTTGCAAAAATTGTGACCATAAGATTTTTGTGAAATAAAGTTTATGATTAGATTTTTTTTATTGATTTTGTTATCACTTTGTAATTTTGTGTTTGTGTAATCTTTCATTACGAGTTTTCTTACGATTCTCTATCATGTTAATACATGAATATATTTACTTAAATGTAAAAATTGAAGAGAAATGAGAAGAAAAGAGTGATTTGGGAAAAAAATACTTAGTTTTTTTTTTGGGGAAAAAGAGGGTACGCCCGAACATGCTCTCCATTCCTCCCATTTGCGAGGGGAGGAGTAAAAAAAAATACAGAGTACAAGTTCCTGTAGGGAAAGGAGGCCGCGAGGCCTCCTTTCCCTACAAGAGCCCGATGGTCGAGCGGGAGTGGGGCGAGCTAAAGCGGGCGGTCGGAATGCGGGCCCCGGCGCGCGGACAGAAAGCCCTCCTGGGCACAGCTCGCGTTCCCCCGGATGTGAAGAGACCTTAGTGACCAGGGGGAAGAGGGACCTCACATGGTGTCTTCGGTATGAAAACGAGGATTAGGCTTGCTGTGTTTGGCGAGTAGACTTGCTCGCGTTGCTTCGCTTTCATTACTCCTTGTGCATGGGGTAACCATTTAATCACTTCACTCTGGGCGATTCACTTTGAGCGGAGAAAGTCATATAAGTTATCTTGCGGATGAGCTTCGAGGCATACGTATGTGAACGTTTCACTGTCTTAAACTGATAAAAATTGGTTCTGTTGATTCGTGGAGAGAGTTTATTGTCCTCGATAACCATCTCGCTTCTGCACATCTTTCTGGAGATATCGGGGCATAAATTTTTATCATCGGAGAATCATACTTTAAAAAAAAATTTCACATGTACAACAGTTGATTGATGTTACAAATTCACATCACGGAATCTCAACTCTTTATCGGAGAGATTGCTCTGCGTCATCACTTCTGCTCTCGTTCTTCCTTCCTCCTCCTGACTCGCTGCCCTCACTGTATGTTAGAAATCACTATACGACGTTATTAGAACATGGGTGGGTGTAAAATTATACTTGATAGGTTCCAGTAAACTATTTGTATTAACGATGGGTACATCAAGTAATATTCTCAGAGCAAATGGAAGAATGGGGAAAGGTGTATCGAGGTTCATGGATGACTAACGTCAGTGGAAGCGAGCGGGCAAAATTCAACGAAGCAGCGAATGGAAGTACACGTCTCTTCGAATTCCCCTCCCATCCATCCGCTTGCTTTCAATCCCCTCTTCAACACCTTGTTGACAATTGTATCAAAAGCGCCTCGACATCAAACCAGAGGAATGTGCGATGTCACGGAAAGCCTGATGAAGAAGGGAGATAACCTGCATCAAGGTCGATTGCAGGGTTCCGTTCGAACTCCCCTGGAGCTCTTAGCGAAAGCAGCAGTAAGGCATTATGAATCTTGGATCCTGACAATGATTTCTCAACGGTTCAAGGCGTCTTTCGAAAAGAGTTTCTGCCAGACTTGCGCGATACCAACGAACTCACGGGGAATAAAATCGGCAAGAACATTCTGATGTGATATAAAGGAGGAAGTGGAAAAAAACAGAAATCTTCCGTTCAAAGACAGAATCTTTGCTTCGACAGAAGTTAAACTAAAACAAAGTGCAATGAATATCGACAGGATGAGCCGATTGTAAGAACCATGGGTTCCATTAGACTTCAGTGCATTGAACCCGACTTCTCGTTACTGTACTCGCACAATCGTGCCACGGGAGTAGAGTACAGAGCGTGAATACTCGTTTTACTCTTTCAGTTCATTGACATTCGACGTGAATGCACCGACGGTAGATGATGAAGGACGAGACAACCGTCTACCATGCCTCTGACATGGTAGACGGTTCGGAAGTCATTCTCTGCAAGTGACAGAAGCCATCTACCAAAATGCTCGAGCGCTTGCACAACAATACGTTGCATCTTCCCAACAGAAACTACTAAAAAGACTGAGTGATCAGGCGAACACTACGCCGGTATGCACTCATCAAGTCGTCTAGAGTCGGGATCATCATATGGCGGACTTCATGAAGAACTAGTACAACAATTTAAGGAAAAATCTCTATGCATGTAACTGACAAGTGTACCTCTTTTCCATCTTCTTATTCTTCATCTGTCTCTAAAGAGTTCATCAGCAACAGCGATGTGAAACTGGCTGAGACTCTGCACGTAGTGTATGAATTGTTGCGGTCGCTCGTCGTAACTCGGAGATCAACAATCTCAAGGACCTATATACCTCAGCAGCTAGATTTTGGTTCTATTACATCGCATAGATTAAAAACTTGAGTTTTTTCTTACAGCAAGTACAGGGAATTATTGAAAAAGCATGGACAATTTGAAGCATTCCCAGAGGAGTCGAACGGATGGTCAAGATAAAACATGATGGCAATTGAAGTGATCACGCGGCACTGTTGGAGAATTTCTGCAATTTCGACAAGAAGATATGAATAAAGAAATAGCTCTGTGTTGTTGCTGAAGTGATTTATGTCAAATTCCATTCCACTGACATTTCATTTCGACTTTTTCAGCTGAATTTTGGAGTTCTGCTAAGCCATCATATCATGGGCATTTCTTCCCGCCGAATATTTACAGGTCCTTGCTCTAACTCATAGAGCCTTCCTTGAGGAACCACAGACTGTCTTCATTTATGACTCCGATTCTAGTATCTGTCGCTTCGCACTTTAATTCGGGACCTTCGTATAGAAGCGTGCAGAATTGTGAGTTGCAAATTTTGGATCGGTAAGAGGAGAGTAAGTGGTGGCAACAACATTGTCCGAAAAGAACACAATGCACTGCACTGCTAGCCCATCCGTACTTCAACACCTCTGGGCGTTCTTGTGTTACACTATATCGGTTTGACTGTTCTTCCTTTTGATTGTCTTGGATATGGTGCTGGAGACTATTTATTATATCATCTGTTGTATAGCAGTGTGCTGTTGAAGTGCTGAGTTTCAGAAACATTCTGATATAACAAGAACCACTCTACCCATCCTGTTCCACTCACGACAGTTAAGTAGAATGTTGACATATGGAGGTCCGACCTGGCCTTCAGCTCGAAGACCATGAGAGCAGCGCAGTCTCTGACTCATTCTCCACAGAAGCAGGCAATGTTGCGCAAGGAAGCTTAAAATCAGTCACTCGACAAACATTTGAGCGAAACATTTGAGCCATAGGTCTGCTCTGGCTCACACGACCAGTCCCCGTTTATTAATACAACAGAGTATCTGGCATCGCAGTCATTGCCATGCGAATGCGAAGGTATCTGTTAAATTTGCACGACACCGTCTCACGAGATCAATTTAGTGATCTTGCGTTCATGCAGGGTATGTACTCTGCTTGAAGAGATACCATCTGTAAATTGAGTGACGAGAATTTTGAATGAGGATTCACGACTGGAACACATTTTTCAGATTGGGTGTGGTTTTTGGATTCCGGGACAAATTTGCTCGAGAAGACGATGAAGGACGAGAGAACCGTCTGCCATGCCTCTCGGCGTACGACGTTTCGGTGTGACTGCACCCGACGACGCTTACATGCAGAGATCTCGTTATATATACTGCAATACGGCTGACTGCGTATGTGGGCTACGTGGTTGGTGGGAGGAAAGCACGGGCGGAAAATGATTACAGTGCAAATGTTGGATAACGACAAGAGTTTCAACCGGGTAGCAGCGGGAGACCGGACTGACGGGAGCGGATTAGGGTTAGGGCAGGAGGAAGGAGCGCCAGAGCGAGCCGCTTGGTACATGGTGGGGGGTAATGCCGAGCTCCTCCTCTTTCAGGCCCTCTTTCGGAACGGGACTCTTTCGAGCTCGCGTCGTAGTTTGATCAATTTCCTTCGTTCGTGAGTTTTTGGGTGGATTTCAATTTCGCAATGGCTCCCACTACTAAGAAGCCCCACACCTCCAGGAACAAGCCCGTGGTGAGGGGAGTCGGGAGACACTCTCGCTCCGCAATGTACCACAAGAGGGGTGTGTGGGCTATCAAGGCCAAGCACGGTGGTTCGTTCCCGACGACTGCGAAGGCTGTGGTCGAAGCCCCTAAGGAATTGAGGGCCCCCAAGTTTTACCCCGCCGATGACGTGAAGACTCCTCTTCACAAGAACAAGATCATCAACCCACCCAAGTTGAGGTGAGTTTCCAAAGGCCGTGCGTTTGATGGACGAGCGCAGTTAGTGTGATCAATTTAGCAAATTATAATCGGATACTCGAAGAAACCCGATATCTATTGTCACTGAATTTACGTACGGAATGGGATCGGGGTTGCGGGGTATGTGATCGGCCGCCGGGTATTGATCGCACTTCATGAATTCCTTACAGGGCAAGCATCACCCCTGGAACCGTCTTGATATTGTTGGCTGGACACTTCAAGGGCAAGAGAGTGGTGTTTTTGAAGCAGCTCGAATCTGGACTTCTGTTGGTGACTGGTACGTTCTGCCTCGTTCCTGCATTATTCTCTTTATGTCGTCCGGTGATTTTGGACAGCACCTCTTAGTTCGTGTTCCTTCAATTATTTGGTGTACAGGTCCGTTCAAGGTGAACGGTGTTCCCTTGAGACGTGTAAACCAGGCCTACGTCATTTCTACTTCCACGAAGGTAGATATCAGCTCCGTGGACTTGAAGAAGTTCACCGACGTGTACTTCAAGAGGGAGGTAGAGAAGAAGAAGAAGTCAGAGGGCCAGTTCTTTGAGGCTGAGAAAGAGGTAGAGTTCTTGACCTGGGCACAGTTTGATCTCTACTCCCATTGTATGCTTTCATCCTCCTTATTGATATCGTGCACTGTTAGTGTTGTGGTGTATTGAAATGCTTTTGTCGGCCGTACAGTCGGAGGAGAAGCAATTGCCCGCTGAGAGGAAGGAAGACCAGAAGGCAGTCGATGCCCAACTACTCCCCCTTATTGAGAAGATTCCCGACATGAAATCCTATCTGGGCGCAAGATTTAGCTTGAAGTCAGGTGTAAAGCCCCACGAATTGGTGTTTTAAGGTGGGAAGTTTCCCGGTCCTTACATTAATAGGGAAAATGGAAATTTTGCGACACGAGATTGTCCTTCGGCAGGACTCTGGGTAGAGAGACTTGTTGTGTATGTTATTGCTACTAGGCGCATAACAGAGAATGAATGTCTCCAGCTCTATAGATGATTCTGACATCGCACTCGTCATCGTTATTTTTGTGCTGGACTCTCCAAATCTAGGCTCATCCCTAAAATTGTGTTCTTTTGGAATACCGTCAGATTTCTGTACCCACTTCACGAATTTAAAATAGACTGTCACTATTTTTTGCCCTGTTGACCGTCATCGATGACTAGCACTGAGTTTTCTACTTATGAATGTTGTAAGATGGACTTGAGGCCAGCTCACCTGGGAGAGCAGGGAAGTCAAAATGGGCCAGCTCGGACTTGTGGGCTTGTATAAACCTCCCAAGGAACGCGGTAGCAATGTTACTTGCCTCTGTCATGAGATGACCCTCTATTCGTATAAAGGTATCGCCTGTGAAAATGAGTTGCTTTTCGACATCTAACTTACTCTTTGTGAATACCTTTTGGATTTCTGTCATCGTGTCTTCCATGAATGGTATGAATCGGTCGTGTAGAATTACTGCAGCCCATTTGTCCAGGAGGGAATCCAGAATATTTTGAACTTCTCCGCGGTCGAATCTGCAACACGATCAGAGTTGAGAGTTACTCTCGTGACAACATTTGCTGTGTTACTCATCTTCTGTAGCTAGTCAAAGGCGGATATGTCGAAGTCTCCAGCTTCAGAAAATCCTGAGCATTAGAAATTAGCACTAGCGCAGCGGAGACACGTAGCTGGAAACTTGCTTTGTGGATTGAAGGTCACATACTTCATGAGTACATCTCGTAGTATGGAGGCAGGCAATCCCACAAAGCGAACAAGCTTCCACTCGGGTATACGTTCGTCTCCTAGGTAGAACAGTTTTCCCACTTCTCCGTTTTCCATCAGGTCAATACGACAGAATGCTTTGTCTGCTCTTGAGTACAATGTCTTTATTGCCGGACCTGTAGACATCACTCAAAGAGGTCAAACATCGCGAAGTTCTGAATATGGGACTGTTGGAAATCGTTGTGGGGAATTAAGATGTGGTTTATTGGAAATTCACTTTCATGCGAACATATTAACTGTGGCGATCGGTGGTACAGACGACTGCTTGCGACAAATCTGGATTAGCTTTGCATGTGAGGTAACCTTCTATGTATGTGTGGAAGGAATTATCAGTTGATGTGGATATATTTCTGTGACTCTAATTAAAGTTGGATGTCTCTGAACTCAATATCGGGGCTAAGTTTGGAATTGTTGTCGTTTAAAGAAACTTTGTCCTCAATTTCTACTTGGACCTGAGTTATCTCATCTTGGATGGTATAATTCGCGTCGACATTTATTTAGATACTGTAACGTAGTAATATTTCAACGTGGAAATTGACGGCGTTTTGCCCGGATAAAGTGCTCATGGGAAATGAAACGTAGTTCCGGGGAATTGTAGTACAAGAATTCATCATGAGGGAAGTACACCGGCCCTTTCGAAGCGCCTCATGCAACTGTTCTATTCCAGGAATATCCCCCACGGTAATTTTTCAATTGCCGTCAGAAAATACTGAGGGAAACTGTGAGTGGAAGCTGCCTCCTAGCTGGTTCGAAAAAATGTGCTGTGTTCAGTCTTGAGACTGTTGGTATTGCAAAATCATTCCATCTTTTCTGGATGGGTGTGAGATATTTGACAGTACCGCGCTGAAGATATTCATAGGTAGTATGATACATCTTGCCATATTAATGACACGTGACCTATGTTCGTCCAAATGTCGGAACCTGAGCTTTGGTCGAGCTACACCAAAGTTACATCATATTCACGTAAACTCACGAAGCAAACAGCATTGTTTCAGGTCGTGGTCCCGGACCATGGTTTCGACTGTGGACATTAGTGTGAAGCGAGACCAGACGCTTGGAATGTTTGATTCCGTCTTCAACTATACTATAGACTCTCAGAAATTAACTGATTAACCTTGAATCCTAACAGAGTTATTGTAGAACGAAAATCGACTAAGTTGAACCTAGATGCTGGCCACCTTACTACACTTAGTCAGTAAAGTGAACACACTCACTTTTCTGCCAACGCTTTACATCGGTGAGAGAGTGAGCAAAAGGAAAGATAGGATTGTCGATGGTTGAAATTTCTATGAACGCCACTTGTAGGACAGAAATTTGGTGATTAAAATGTGGGTGAATATAAAGTAAGACAAAAATGCTTTTGAGAATTGCAATTGAAATGGTCAGAATTGTTCGAACATTTATACGCTCTGTACACTACATCACTAATTACGTAATAAATATCGTTGTGGTAGAAATAAATTTCTAATTAATGCAACCATTGAATCTCAAGAAACATATCTGGAATATATCACTGACCTAGAACTTGATAATATAGAAACAAAACACTCAAAATCAAAAATTAAGATCTTTTGAATGATCTAGCAATAAACTCACAAGATGAAAAAAGAGAGGAAAAACTAAAAAGAAAAAGAAAAGCAAAAACTAACATCCAACTATCAATTAAACGTAAAAATTTGAAAAATACGTTTTTGGAAGAATAATCTGTGCTAACATTACATTCTCGTTGGTATAAACCGACAACAAACACAATCTGAGTCAATGTTGAAAGTTTATTCCATATTTGAGTACAAAATATAATTTATCATCAAATAACTTTTAGAATAAATATTAGCAGAAAATCCCAACTGTACTAAATATTTATACTTAAATTGTTGGTTGTGATAATCTATGGAATATATATACATACATATATATTACTCAAATATCTATTCAGGATTTGAATAGATAAAAACATTTTTTAAAGTAAAATCAACAATTCATGTGTAAAAAGAAATTAAAATATATTTTAACTCTAGTAATTTAAGCTTAGTTTGTGTTTAGATTAAGTTGATATCACAAATTGTAGTTGACCGAAGCTTTCAATGAATACTTTTAGAAACATGAGTAACATTCTTTGGTTCCAATGTTAGCCAGCAGATGCTAATCTCTTACTTCCAGTGTCAACATTGTTCTGTAAACTTTTAAATGGACATATACTCGATGCTTTCCCTGCCATATACACATAACTTTCTAAGATCCATCAAGTATCATTATATCCAATGGAATCTTCATTATTGATAGACGTGGCTGAAATAAACGAAAAATGTAAAGTGCCATGAATAAAGAAGCTATTGAGTACACTGATAATCAAACTCTATACAGATAACTTATCACACTTGCACAATAGTTCTTATCAACAAAATATATATAAGTAATGTTTGATTACACATCAAAGTACATTCATCCTATTGTCAATTTTGGATCCATTATACTTGAATAATCAAAACAGATGAAATCAGATATTAAAGAAGTATTGCAATTTTCAATTGGAAAATTGGTTAGCATCATTGAGTCTAAGCTAATAATTGAGATATTATCACACAATACTACAACAATATAATGTTTCTTCTACTTGTGATTTACAAGTTGATGGCAGTGAATTGTATCCAAAAAACTCAACAATCGAACTGGAGAGTGTTATTGGAGTAGGCAAAGTACTGATCATCTGTATTATGTCACCTCACATTGTAGTGTGTATGAGGTACTAGATGCACATTGAGCGGCACGAGATCTACGTCGTTGTTGTAAGAGTACTCATCTTCATCATCATAATTAGACTTTTAAGTGCACATTCCGAGTTTCTTTTGCTCAAAATCTGCTAACATTAATCAAGATTTTCTTGGTTTTGATTTGTTATTTGTTATAACAAATAACAAATCAAAACCAAGAAAATCTTGATCCATCATATCAGTACTTCCATAACAAGGGTGATGACACACCGTCGATGTCGCACCATAAGATTAATTGATACTCGTTATAGCTAAGATCTAGTGAATTTTCTAAAGTCGTCATATTAACAATAGGTGTACTTGGTAAGTAAATAATGAATGCGTTTGTTGATAGCAACACATCAACAATTCATGTGCTTGGTAGGATTATCTGTCATATCATCAAGATATTATAATTCTCATGAATGATGGACATGAGATCTTATCTATAAGACTGATTTTTGTATATGTGAAGTAAGATTAGAAGTAACCAAGGAGATGATACTGGTTAGTTTGGGTTTAATTAAGTCTTGATAGTTATGACTAAGTTTATCAAGTTATGACTTTCGTACCAGATACTCAAGTTCAACAAGAATCAATTTTTTTTCATATTGCAAAAAAAAAGGAGATAAATTCAAGAGATTAAAGATCAATTCAATCTTTTGCTTCAAATTAGAAGGTGATGTAAGATAAAAAACATACAAGAGTAATATAAGAATGAGACTTTAGAGAATTGTATTATGTAAAAAAACTTACATTTGTTTCATGTCAAAAATTTTGATTTTATTGCGAGAATGTTCATGAGATCTAATCTTATAGATAAATCACTCACATGATACATTATATGAAAATGAATGTTATCAGATCAATATGTTCAATCTCGTGTTGTATAATGGAGGAGTGATTTTTCAAACTGTTTATTTTTTTCAAATAGCAAAAATGAAGTTGTGAAACTTGAAGTGGATAGTAATTATTCACAAGTATATTAAAACTTTTTGTAATCTTCAACAATCTATCAAGTATATGAGTAAAGAAAAATTTTGAATAAGTTTAAACGGGATTTGAAGTATTGAGTACAAAAGAAGCGATGATAAACAATTTATCTGCAATGAATAAAACAATTAGAATTGCTCAACAAATTATAGGAACTTATGAAATCACACATGGTTAGATGAATCATTCAGCAATGTTTGAAATCCACTAATACTCCAGAAATGAACTTGGAATATCTTTGATTCAAGGAAGATTGTAAATCGTCATAAGTATTCACACCAAGATTTGAAGTTGAGATTTGATGACCATTGATTCCAAATTTATAAGCATGGTATGTAAACAATGAAATGATTCAAGGGGAGACAAAAGTTTGTGAAACTGGTCAATGTTATGCATATGAAAATACCGATCACATTATCAAATTCTATCAAACTTGAATAGTACTGCAAACAAGAGGTCAAATGCAACAACAAGCTTTCAACGTCATTACGAAGACATCATACAAATTTTTTTTGATGAATTTAGCTTTAAAACAAAGATCATGATAAACTTTGACTCACAATCTTATTACTTTCACAAGAAAATAAAATAAAATATTTGCAGAAAACAATGGTTGAAAACTCATGAAACGTGCAGAAAGCAACCCGAATTGATTGAATAGAATGTATTTCATTTGATTTGATATGATTTTATCCAATCTCAATGAAATGTCATGGATGCAACAATATAATTTAGAAATAAGTTGGAGAAGAAAAATAATATAAAGTAATAGTAGGAAAAATTTATGAAAATAGAATTTTGAATATGAATTTAACTCTTTCTAATGGATAAAACATCCCATGTATTCAAGATGATGTATGACTTATAAGAGACATTGTTGTATACTTGAACAAATTTTACTTTTTACATGATTTAAATAATTTTTTTATGAAGTATAAAGATGTATTTTAGATGATTAATCTCCACAATTACAAGCAAATAGACGTGTAGATCACAAAGTTGAGTTAACACCTAAAAGTACACAAATTTGCAAAGCTTCATATTTTTTAGATCCAAATGAATTGAAAAAATGCAAAGTTCAAGTACACGTGATGTTAAGCAAATGACTTATTCAACCAAGTATTTCAACTTATGAAGCTTAGATGGGGAAAAAGTATGAAAGCATGCCGTTATGTATTGATTATTGTGAACTGAATCAGAAGATAATTTAAAAAAACTATACATTATTTCATATGAATAATTTGTGTGATTAATTTTAAGCAACCAAATATTTCATCAAATTGGATAAAAAAACGACTACAATCATATTTGAATTGCATATAAAAATATCCACAACCGTCTTATTGTACAAAGTATGATCACTTTGATTATCTAGTAATTTCTTTTGGTCTTAGAAATACATTTGCTACATTCGTGAAATTGATGAACAATATTTTTTATATCTATTTCGACAGAAATTTTATTTTTTTCTAAATTATATTTTGATTTATAAATTAATTTTGAATGATCATAAGTATCATTTACAAGAAAAATTTAAGATTTTGAGAGAGATTTAATTATTTTTCAAATTTTCAAAATGTGAATTTGACAAGTTGAAAGTAAACCATTTGGATCAAAGAATTAAAAAAAATAAAATTAAAATGATGAATGAAAAGATAGAAACTATTAAAAAATAACAGCAAATGAAGATCAAATCCAATTTAAAAACTTTTTAAGATTCACAAATTTTTATTGTAGATTTGTTAAAGGTTCAATTTGTTTAGCTGAAACTTTGACATCTATGTTATGCAATAACTAAAAATGAAGATGAGTAACAATTCAAAAGCTAGGTTTTTAGTCATTAAAGTATGATTTATTACAACCACTTATCATCAAATAATACAATCCTGTTACATCTATCAAATTGACTACTAATGCAATGCCATATTTTAACAAACATGAAAAAGTGGATGACATCTAGTTGTTTTTATATCTAAAACATTGATGCTAGAAAAAAAAATTATGTTCACACATTGAAACAAGATGAAATAGCAATTGTGTTGACGAGAACAAAGTGAAATCATTATAAAGAGCTTGTGATGAAGATCTATCATAAATCATTGGTGTATCTAGAAATTTAGAATAATCTATCTAAAAAAAAATGACGTCAGAGTTTCAATATGAAGTTTGTGTATGTTAAGGGCAAAAATCAACTTCTGTATCATTTCACACGCATGTCATGTCTTAATCATATGGCACAAATTGAAGATTTAAAACCATTGATAAAACAAGATGATTAATGCCACAAAAAAGTATGAAGAGATCATGCAATCATGACAAACCGGAAGAGTTGAAAATGCTAGAGTTTTGGTGTTTTACAAACACCGTATATGGATGCCACAAGATTAAATTGTTTTAATCAAAAACTCATGATTTAACCTATGCATGCCATGTGTAAGTAAAGAACATATTGAAAAGCATACAACAAATGTAATATTGATTTGGTATGTAAGAATTTTGTTAGAATTTGTAGAATTTTGTTAGAATATATCAGTTGTGAGTTTTGTGAATAAGTTAAACAAAATGATTTACATAAAATCAATCACAAAAACAATGACAATTTATAAACTTGCTTCATTGTATTTAGATACGATATTTTGTGAATCATGGAATAAATTTTTTTTTAATGATTGATAAAGATATTCAATTCACTAGTTTATTTTGAAAAACTTTACTTATTTTTTTCAAAAAAATTTAATAATATCAATAGCATATCATATTCAAACTGATATTCAAAGAGAGAAAATTAATAGAATTATGAAAAATATATTAAAGACATTAAAAATAAGTAGTAACAAAAATGCTATATTTTTTTTGTTAAACCTGCATATAATACTTTTATAAATGCATCCACAAAGATGATTCTATTTGACGTCATGTTTTTTGTTCATTTCATAACTACATCAACTTTAATGAAGATTGAAAAAGAAAATAATTTTTTAACTAAAGCAATTGTGGATAACAATTTTGTGAATCATATTCACAAAATATTACATCAAGCAAATAATAAGTTGATGATTACACAAAATTAACAAAAAATCATCCATATGCTCTTTGTAAAGATTTGATTTTCTAGTAGTAGATCAGGTTTGATTGTGTACACCAAATTTGATTTTTGTAAGAACATCAAAGTTTAAACTTAGATTTATTGATATTTTTGTGATATTGAAATGAGTCAATGAAATGTTATATAAGTTCAAACTTTTATCACATATGAAAATAAATCATGTATTTCATGTGTCACTATTCCAAAGATATACATCATTACCACATTAATTCACAAACCAAGCAATGTTTTCTCGTTAATCAACCTTGATAGCTAATCATGAAAACTTTGAAATAAAAAAGATACTTAAGAAGCGTTTTTGAGTTCATTAATATTCCATAACAAAATCTTTGGCTCAATAAAAAATATTTCTATCATAAAAATCAACTTGCAAATCAATTAGAATTCTAACTAATGCAGCTCTGATAGTTTAAAAATCTAATGCAACCAGAATATTCTGTTGTATAAGTAAGAAGATTTGTAAAAATCTTTACTTAGTCAGAAATAAAATAAAAGTTATCAATATCTTTGGTAAATTTTTCATGATCGTCATGTCAATGATTCTTGTGATTGGTAGATAGAGAATGAATGTATTAATTGACAACAACATGTCAATAATCTGTGTGCTTGTTACACAGGATTGAGTTTGTTATTTAATGTGTTAGTTGAGAACAACACGTTAACAATCCATGTGTCTGTTATAATTATTTGTTATGTCATGAATAAATTCAAAATGTAATTGATGATTGAAGTGAAATCTTATCTTCTTGTACCTATAAGTAAGATGTATATAAAAAGAAGAAGAATCATTATAGGTATCTCTTATTTCAAAGTTGCATTTCATTTTCAAATGACCTACACTCTTAATCCATAATGTTACATTATTTTGCAAAAATGAATTAAATGAAGATTAACTTAAAATTTAACTCAAATAGTTTAATCAAAATTAAAATTTAGATTTTTTTGACTGTATAAAAGTAAAATTGACCAAAGATCTGGATGAGTATGTTTAGATTCTCATTAATAAAACCTACGAGTTATCATGGATACAACTCACAGAGATCAACCATGGTATTGTGCTTTTATAAACTTTTAGATATGTTTTATGTATATGTGAAGTTTTCTCTAAAAAAATAAGCAATAATTCATGTGTATTATAAAATAATAATTTTCTTATATATGTTGAAAAACATTATTGAAATTTGTATGTCATTAGCCCATACAATTCATATGCAACTAATTCTTTTCATTGAAATCTCTTGAAAATTCAAGCAATTCTAATACTTATCATATAAATTTTTCATTATATTATGTTAGATTTTTATCATAATCAATTCAATTTATGTGATCATTGTATAATAGATTTGATATGAAAATCAGAAATTCATTTAAATTTTTTTGATTAATTCACAACCAATAAATTCCTCTAAAAAAATTTATTATTAATTTTTTTTCAATAATTTTATTTCTATTAATGAAAGATAATTTAAATTATATTTTATATCAATCTAAATATGATTTATTATTTTATTGAGGTTTTTTGGATTCTCAAGAATCATCTTGTGTTGAAATATTTTTATTTAGTCAACATTCTTGCAAAGCATAGGAGCTCTCTAATATCACCATATTCAAATGATGAAGTATGAAAACCTTTAATGTGATTTCTAAAATTTGCATTTTGGTTCACTAATCACAATATCACATACTCAATATCTAGTTTCATTGTTCTCAAATTTAAATATTTTTAAAATTCATTGAGATCTATCATACACAGTAGACATAACTAAAATAAAAATAAAATCTATATATAAGGTGATGGTTGATCTTACATATTACAAAATGATATTGTACTTTCTCACTACAGTGCATGTACAACGAGAGTGTTGAAACACTCCTCAATTCGTTAAAACATGATCAATTCAGAAAGAAAACATTCCAAGTTTTTAACCAATGTCTAAAACTATCATACAACTCCAATTGTTTCACGCATTCCTAATGATCAGATTCTTGACAAGATTAAAAATCGAGAAAATCAAGCATTTAACACTATGAAAACTTCATTTTAAGTTCAAACTAATTTAACTTTCCAAATCTATAGAAAACACATTATTTGACATGAATCATAAATCTCAACATGGCAACTTTACTTCAGTACTTGCTCACACTTTAAAATCCATGATCTTCATATAACCCACAACAATGAAGAAAACTAAATCACCTACCTAAATTGTAAATTCAACCGCATTTCATAAAGATTGAACTTATCAATAAAACATGTCATCCCAATAATACCGTTACAATACTCAAATGACAATGAATTCGGTTATCGCTCTTGCCTACTTATACTACCGCTGTTGTTACTGGAATCTTAGGATGAACATCATTTCAATGGGATGATCCACGGAAGCATTCTACTTTCTTTACTTTTCCCAAAGCAGCTTTGTCACTCTCCCTCAATCGCTTTTGGTTTATGTGGGGGCGGGTGTAGTGTGTTAGCGCTTTTGCTGGATAGATTGGTTCTTAGAGTGCACAACAGTGTGCAAGGGTATAGTGTAAAAGGAGGCAAGTACTCATCGTTGTCGTCGAGGCCTTCTGACATGAGAAGAGAATACGATGACACAAACACAGACAATGCTGTGTGAACAGAGAAGTTTAGAGTTGAGAAACTTACGTGCGGATGGTATACAGAATTTCGGTGCCGCTGCTGACAGAAACCACTTGTCACCTGGTACGTATCCTCCAAAGCACCTCGCTTTGTTAAGTGACGGCAATAGTGAAGTTGGCCACTTACGGAGCTTACCCGGTACAATACCACCCTCGAAGTCAGCTGGGACCTGCTTTAGGAACATCGCTTTAGTCACAAGCACGGCGAAGGCAGCAGCGAAGGATTCACCTACTTCCCAACCACAGAAGGTCTCCAGCTTCGGGAGATCCTTTCCGCAGTACCGGCTGAATTTACACAGGCTGCCAGCCGCGAAGATAGAAGGATCATTCGTCCGGAAGACACCATCCACCACAACTCGGCTGTCGAAGATGATCGATTCCTAAGCCAGAATCAGCATATTGTTTATCAGCTGTCTACATACTCTTCTGGTGTGGATCAACCAACGAATACCAACCTGGCATTAACGGTTGGTATGCGTTAGTTATGGTGTAGCTCTTAGACCAGACGTAGCATTCTCGCATATGTAAAATTGCCTCTGCTAATTCCTAAGTTGAACCCACCTGTAGGACTTATGGTAGGTAGATGCAGCTCATTAAAAAAATAAAAGGTAATTTTTTAAATTTATCTTCGCATACATCTCACGTTACTCCGGTTCCTATTCTCAATAAGCCCAGATGATGCAGTATGAAATTATTTAGAAAGAAGGAGGATGAACAAGAGGTGGTAAACCTTGTTCAAGGCTCGAAATAGGGCTAGGTCAACTTGTCTTTCATCACATGTGACGAGCAAAGAGCATGACTGTTCAAGCGGTCGATGTGGCCTTCTACTCCTCTCCACCACGTAAGTGATTTTTGACTCCTTACGAGCCAGTCGGCTTGCACCTTCCTGTGATCTATGTATGGGGCACACAGGCACCTCACGCAGAATCTGAACTGCATCTTCCACTGGTTTCAAGGCCATTGCCTTGTTCATCTCTTCTAGTGTCATGGGCACGACACTCATCCCATCCAGATCTTCTTCTCTGATCTGGTCCTCGAACTTCAACATGCGTATCCATTCGTTGGTATCGTTCATCTCCACGCCAATCAACTTCAGACCAGAGTGCACAGAAACGCCTGACCGCAGTATCGTGTCTAGGAGCATACTTGTAATTTCTGGGTCTCCAAGATGCATGCCCGCAGCAGACACAAGATTCTGCGGCTCAGGATGTATGAGTATCATGTTGGGTCCCTGAAGTCCTTCTTCTAGGAGCTTCTGTATAGCGCAGAAAGCCTCCAGTGTTGACCCATATATCACCACGGGAGGGATGTTGTCCCCCTCAACAGCATGTACTGCCATACCTTGGGAGATCTCATGTGCATTCAAGATAATTTCATCAGTTTTGACTATCCCTATATGTTCGTTGGTTTCTGAATTTGTGCTGGACAGTCCAAGCTTGTTCCTCGTCTGATCTTGCAATCCGGTGCTTAGAACCAACCAATCGTACGTCAGGATATCACCGTTGGATAGTTCGAGGCAATGCCCTTTTCTATCGATGCCCGTCATTGTCGCAACAATAACATTGATATGACAATCAAGGCCTAGTTTTGGAAACGAATATGCTGGACCCAAGTCAACAATAATTTGAGAGAGAGCTGTGGACATCAGGCACTTGAAACCGACGGTTGAAACCATAATCAAATTCGTGAACTGCAGTTCTTGAGAGGATATAAGCTGATGACAGAAGGCAGCAGTGGTTATTGAGGATCCAACCACTACAATACGGGCATTCACTACTGTTCTATACCTGTACAAGAATCTGTGACTCATTGTGTACAAGGCACAGTCGAATCCAAAATAACTCCCTCGGGCTTGTTTACTCTTTGAAATGGACCGAATGCTGCTGGTGCTTCTCACAGAGACAGTACCACTCGTGGTAAACACACTTTTTTTCCCCGCAACTTCGATTGTCACACTCTTCTTGTTTGTTTGTTCGCTCAGTGAAGAGCTCGCTCTTATAGAACTTTTCTCCTCTTCACGTATGACAACCACTTTCTTCTCCCTTACTACGCCTACTTCTGCTTCGGCTTGAAGAATCTTACCTGATGTTTCCTCATACTGGTGCCCAACTTGTGCACTCACTTTCTTCCGCTTATCGGCTTCTACTTCAAATCCAACGCCGATGCTCATCTTCCTGCTTAGTGGTCTCTTGGCTTGAAATATATCAGGAGCTTCGCTTGAATCTGTGTCTGAAGACTCAGGACGGTCTTTCATCTGTGGCTCAGCGTCCGCGGCATCGTCTTCCGAGTCTTCATTGATAATAATACTCTTTCTATGGCTTCGATTGGTATGTTCACTTGGAACTGGATCGACAGATAAGACTAGATTCGGTCTGGACTTGTTTTCCTGTATCGAAGACCGTCTCTTCATGATGTCCTCAACGAAGCCCACTTTACTCTCTTTGGTGCCCTCTTCCTTCTTCAAGTTTGTACCGTCAAGTTCTACTTGGCTCATCCCATCATTCAATTCATCAGGACCTGTCTTGGTGAGATTAGCTGCAGGAGTGTTTTCTCTTGAGGCCTTTTCCCAATAGCAAGGGGGTGCCATGTGTGCATGTTGTCTTCCTGGTAAAAGAATTAGGTCTTCCAATATATCGGGTACCTCTTGATTCGCGAAGACAGGACAGTACAGCATAGTTTTGCCCAGTTGCTTCATAATATGCTGGAGGAAAAGCCTCGTGCGGCATCGATATATGGGGTTGAGCACAAACAAAATCAAGGATGCATGATTCTCGTTTGGATGATACTGCGGGTTCATCAGTGTCGATACGTTGAAGTGACTAGCTATTGCTTCCACAGGTGGATCTTTTGCAATCAATGCATACCCAACGACTTGCTGTGGTACAGCAGCAACCATGTTCACACCTGCAATTCTCTCCCAGCCCGACATCACATACCGAGACAACTCGTTGTCCTATCTCGACGCAGACCCAACACAGCAATGAGAAAGTTTACTGGTAGAAAGAAAATGAAACTAATCGCATAGATTCATGAAAGAGAAGCATGAGATTTCCCTTTAGGACCCATTTAACAGCATATCAAATTTGAATATCGAGGACTGTTGAGCTTGAAAAGGAGACTTGCACAAACTTACGTCCAACAGTAGGTTTTGTGATGAAACTCAATAAGTCATCCTTGTCTGCGAAGTCATCCAGAAGTTCTTCCAGTTGCGGTAGGTCCTCAGCATCAGCTGGCCTGAATCCAATATCCTGTCATATGTGATATTTTTCAACGATGAATATTTTCTCTGTGAGGTTTGCAAGTAGCATCCGAGACGAATACGAAAAATCGAGAAATGAAAGCGAAATCACGAAAGAGTAATCTCTTTCGTTATGAACATACTTACTGGTGACAGTCCATCCACGTGAAGAATATGCAGGCATCGTTTATCTGCTGAGAGTTCTGGATCTTGGTTGGACACATTCGGCTTGGACTTTATGCGACAGAAGAAATTCAGCAGTGGATGATGTGGGGAAGTGAATGGTAAAGTCACCAGACAAAATTCTTTCTTCAGTTTCTGGAATCAGTTGCCAACAGAAACAACTCAAAATATTCAGTCATATAGTGGTCGATGTCTAATATCTGTAAGTCAACGAAAGAGTATCACATATGTGAAAGTTGAGACGGGGACCAAGCTTTTAAAGGAAAACTGAAACTTACGAAATATTGCAAAAGTTCATATGGAAATCCGTATCATACTACAGGATTTTTGGCTTGCTACAACCAACCTCATGTACTGGATTCCAAAGCAGCATGGTACGAAGTACTAGAGTGATATCAAGAAAGGTTCAGGATCCTGTCCACTACTCAAGTCTTTATCGTTACTAATCACCGTGTCATGATATAAGATCTGACCTTGAATGCGAAGTCAATAATGTCAATGGATCGATTTTCAAACTCCTCCTCCATGCACAACATAACAACACGAAAAGCATTCTTCGGCCACTTGATAATAACCTCTACAGCAGGTTCAGGCTCAGGCTGAGCACTCTCGGGGCTCTCTCCTTCTGTCAAGAAGAACCGAGGACACTCAGCCTATAAAAGGTTGTGACGAAAGGTTCTCGAAGCCCAGCTTATGTACGAAACTACAAAATTCTTGCTCTAATTGCTGGACGCTTCAGTGCGCTGTCAAATGTTGCCAGTTCGTTTCCCGAGATATATAGAGACATTCGATAGTTAAATAGCGTTAGTCATCAAACGGTAATATTGGAAAAAATATCGCAAGAATACTGCTTGCTCTCATAAATATCACACAACATGCTTTCAGCTCACATAGCACCCACCTGAGAGTCCCTCAACTGGTACCAATGGATCTGGTGAAGATGAGGCTAGTGGATCGGGGATACCAAATGGGTCCACAGCAAATGGATCGGGAGCAGCTGCTTCCGTCTCAATGACTGTCAATTTTCGTTCTATTCTCTATAAGAATGCGGAAGACAAGTAAGTCATATATCTGAAGAAAACCAACACATGCATCTGGTATAAATCTCGAGTTTTGGTGAAGCGGGTGAGTACCTTCGCGGCGAGGCCATCAAATAGATCAATGTCGTAATTCTCGTGCAGAGAAGGGATGTCGATATCGGATACGAGGACTACCAATCCAACTATTCTGAAGTCCACCTGGATCCCATCTGGCCAGCAACTCTGGCTAAGTATCACCATTGAATTTCCATCGATCTATATGTGTCATGCTGCATCCTTTGTTTCAGAAAACGTGGTGCCCAAAGGCATGAGGGATTTGAATGAGCAAACATTTTCGTCACGTCAAATCTCCAGACTTCATACTCGAGTTTTAATGCGTTCCTCTTGACTTCCCAGACTAGGAGGGTCAGTAATGACAAGAGCATGACTCTAGTGATGTAAGAGTTGAAGACCACCAGGAGAGGAACTAGAAAACTGACAGAATTTGAGGTCTTACCTTCATCGACATTATCATGATTAACGTTCTAATCTCAAATCTGACATATTTCTTCATCAGGTCTTGTGTTTTCCTACAAACACCTATTTACTTGATATGCATGCTATATCGCCTTCCTTGCTGAGGAACAAACCTCAGCTACAAATACGTTGTTCTGCTCAGTTTGAGCGCGAATGAAACGGGCAACTGAATATGCTTTTGAGGGAACTGCTGACAGAGGAATGTCGGTGAGTGGTAATCCCCTCTTTTGTGCACGCTCGATGACAGGGCACAAGTCGTCATGATCTTCCTCCCGTGCTCTTCTCATTTGCAAGTATGGCAGTACGTCACTGCAAAGCAAAAGAAATACATCAACATAGCGCAGGGAAAGCAAAGTCACTCAGAGCAATGTATTCTTTACATGACGAACTCGAAATCTGTACCATAGTTAGTTAATTTGGAAAGGCGGTTGAAAACATCTGTTCACCCTCTGAAGTCATACTGTATGAACAGAACCCTCAAAAGTGCAAAATCGGTGCTGCATAGATTCAGAACAAGCGTATAAAGAGCTCCGGCAGGGCATCCTTTGTAAAAATCTTTGTCACTTCCCGGGTCGACTGTTGTCGTTAAGTGTAAAAGGAGTAAGAGAGGTTTGTTATGTAACCTGCGTGAACAAACGCACAAGCTCAACTTGAACTCCTGATTACGGGCGACGGGTCGAAAAAGGCTTGGCATCGCTCCAAGTTCTAAAGAACCTGCACAGTGAATATTGCATTTGAATGGAGTATATTCCAAGTTATTTATGAGACATGAGAGCGTTTGCAGCAAACATTTCAATCTGTTTTCAGAATGGCAGAAAAATGCGGAGTAACACATTGGAAGGACTTGCTCCATCTGCGTGTTATAAATAGTCTAGAAGTCGAGTTTTATATCCGGCGTAATGAAACATGGAATCAGATATCCGACGTAATGAGACTGGGCTGCTGGTCTCATCTACTTTACTTGTATGGAGGATAATTCTTGTCTCGAAAGAAACTGACAGCACTGTGTAAAGCATTGCTCTCACGAATGCTTCTTCTTCCGCACCGTTTCCAACAGCAGCCACACAAACAGATAGCCACATAATCATCTCCTTCTGCAGACAAGGCCATTAAAGGCATCAGACTGCTAGGAACGGTATCAAGTCTTAGACTTTGTATTTAGATTAGCCTCATGGGAAATAATACGAAAAGCGGTTTTCCTGGGCTCCAAGACAACCACGGTTAAAGTCTGGATTGATCCAAATTACAAATCTCAGTGGAGTTCGAACAAACTCAGACTATTGTGAATTAGGCTTACAGACTATTATCACAATCTTCTGTGAAGATAGACTTTGGTCAATTCTTAACTCGATAACCGATATCGAGAGCTTTTCGTGTTGCCCATTTCACCGCTTCCACTGTCTTTTCTGCTTTTGTTTTCTTCAGTGAATCTTCGGTATTTGGTGACGATAGAGAGTTTAGTGCCTCCGGAAAAGTGGCGAAGCCTTTAGGAAGTAACGGAGAATCATCAAAAGCAGCAAATGCTAGCAGCTGGTTTGCAGGAGAGTATGCAACGAGTGAGAATAAGGATAGTTCACTGCGTCCAACATAGATCATGAGTTAGGCAACATGTTCGAGTAGACTTATACACACTGATCTATAACGGAGAAATTATTTACTCGGATTCATCCTAGCGCCTACACTTCTTAGCTGCTTTGATCTAAAGTGAAACCTTCAAGACGAAAACGCATGTAGTGAGAGTACGGTATAGTTGCTTCTATAGATCAGCGTTGAAATATGCGAAGATATTGTGAGGTAATGACACGGAAGTAGTAGCTCGATGGAAACTATAATGAAGACCAGTTATGGCCAACGTCTTCCAGATATTGCTCTGACAATATTCGTGGCAAGAATTCCCTGAAGACAACTGGAAAGTACATGGTTCTGCTTCACTACAAACACAACTTGCTAAACTCCTGTCCGACCAGCAGACAGAATACATAGGCGTCTACATTCTTGAAACAGATACTTTGCTACTTACACCTCTGTAACATTCAGCGTGAAAACTATGATATCCAGCAGCGTCCAAGGTTAGGGTGTAAGTATCATAAGCATATGATTCAAAGACTCTCGAAGTTGTGATCAATTATTTATTTAACTCAGCACAGCAGCCAGCTGTATACATGTGTCCATCATACATTATAAGCTTCTAGGGACATGAATAGCAAAATAGTGCTGCGTTTTTTGCAATGTGCTTGTTAGCAGTTGTTGGATTATCCCGCGCTCGGTTGCTTTCGACTGACTAAAAAGAAAGCAATTCAACGGCATCATTATCTGAAATCAATTCATGTGTGAATTCAATCTCAGGTGGAAGAACCCCAAAAAAATGTGAAAGAAGTGTCCCTTAGGAATGAAAAGGGTCTCTCGCTGTTGGGGACATCATCAAACTAAACCTATGATGGAATTGTGAAATCGAGGAGGCTATTAGTAGTTACCAGATACGCCCAAAGTCAATTGGACCATATAAATGTTCGAGGTGAGGAATGACTTTTTTGAATCTCATCTGCACCTTATCAGCATCACCAGACTCGGTGAACCTGAACGTATATCCCTTGAAATTCATGGCGGTTTTTGATTCCTTGATGGACTCCCACCTTCATTCGACGAGATTTTTGTTATCAAAACTCTCGGAAGCAAGCTGCGAAACTCCACGCTAACAATGACGTCTTGTGAACCACGATAAGATATGGATCTTACTTTCAAATTTGACTTACTTCGATTAAGATCTTGCCTTGGTGAGGTAATCAGGATAATGTTTGAGCTCCGTTCAATTTACGTCGCATTTTCTGATCATTCCACCTCCGTACCGCTACTCTGGAATTGAGCCAAGAGAGAACTGTATGGGAGATCAAATAGTAGCACCCACGGCTCATCACATGCATGACCAACACAAAGGAACCATTGAGAGGATGGACGAGAAGGATGATATTTAACATTTTATCCTCGAATCAAACTACAAGTGATTTAGTAGACATGCATTTCTTTTCTTCTTCAGGGAGTGCTCGCCGATGTTCGCAGCTAAGACATAGTCAAGAAGCTCTTTCCTCGTATGAAATATATTTCCATCATATGAAATAATAAAGCAACACGAACCATGGTCAGTGCGTGACGTTCGACAAACGTGGATATGAGGAGCGAATTCCGGCACAACGTATAAAACACGGTGCCAATTATCTGAGCCAAAGAAATAAAACGAAGCCGATCGTTGAAGTAACAGCGTGCACCTCGATCCGGTCTGCAAAAGGTGAACGATTCTCATTCGACGTTCTCATCGGCAACATATGAAGTCAACACCTATTTGCATTCTTGGAATGTGGCAAGTAGCTGCCCTTGCTCGTTCTTCTCCTCCTCCTCACTCCGACGAAACCTAATGAGCCAGAAAGGAAGTCCCTGCATCGCAAAAGCTCGCATTTTGATCGAGCAACTGATCCCTCCAATCGTAACGTCCACCGCGGATTTTCGAGCGTTGGCTCAGACCGTCATCACCTCATTCGCTTATACGACTGTGGCACACGAGTTTTGAACTAGGGGGCTGCTGCACGTAGCAGCGCTGTTGAATTGACTACCGTGGTTAATGAAGGGGGGACCACGTATGGCATACGTTGGTGTTTGCCCTTATCACCATTTCTATCATCACAGTGCCTTTCTCTCTCCCATGGAGGACTTCAATATTATTTTCTTATGGGTTCGATACTCCTTGCTTCTTCACTTGCTCTTAAAGGTAAAGAGCAATAAGCCAGCCGCTTTGAACGTGATGTTTTGAACGCTGGACCTGTAAAGACCACCAACACGCTAGCCGGTGGTGTACAGCTACTAGGGTTCTTGTCGTGTGGAAATATGTTATGAAATTTACAATTTGTGCGTAAATGGAGATATTTATTATATACATTATATGGAGAAATATTATCCTATATTAGCATCGACTTTCCATGCATGGGGGCACATCCACTCCGCTTTCACTCCTGGATATCATGTGCCTAAAGATCTATTATTTTGGAAAGATTGAGATGCTCGGATTTTGGCCGGGCTACCAAAATATAATAGTAGATGTAGGAAGAGTAGAAGATGTTGACAGTTAAAATCACTTCATCCAGTCGGATATCTAATCGATCGGAAAGAAGATATCTTGAAGTGTTGTGAATGTAAAGTTACAGGTACAAAATTAGACCATACGACATATGAGTCAAGCTGAATATCTTCTTTGAAATATTTAAATGGGTAACATAACAAGTTCGTAAACAGATCCATTTGGATCACAAAGTTGAAACTATGTGCCATACCCGTAAACTTGTTACTTATGACAGCAACTAACACAGTTTCACACATGTAACTGATGTGGATGGCTTCAACCTGCTATCAAGGGAATGTTGGTTTTATATTTATAGCAATATAGCAATGAAAAATAGTTCTCTTAGTTCTATGCATAAGAAAATCACTGAATATCTAATGTCAAACCATAGAATGTCAGAAGAATCTACAAATTTCTTTGGGATTAGCATCACTTTAAAGTCCAGATTCTCAATAAACATCAATCGTCTTTACAATATTTTTAAAAATTAAGTGAGGTAAATTGTAAATATAATCAGTAATGTGATGATACCTTATTGTTTTAAAATTTTTATCTTACAAAAAATTATTTTTTACTTCTACTTCTTGTAAAATAGAAGTCCCATGTATCTGCAATAGGATTTAATATTCAAATCTATGAGGTCTTGCACTATTTTAGACATTTTCTTTATTCCAAAAATCTATATTGGTCCATATGTATCTATGTATATTGATCCCATGAATTTTTATACTATTTTTCAAGAATAAAGTACTCAAGGAGACAACAACTAAAATGTTTGTCGCATATTAAGATTTGTCATTCAATTCAGGCATGTAGCTACCAAAGACCAAACTACCCATGTATGATATGAAATTATATCCATCAAAATTAGATTAGATACATAGTTGTATAAAATTTCATGCTCTAAAAATATAGTTTCAAACAAGTCCTATACTCTGTTGAGATTTTTTTGCCCGTTCAGCGGTCTGCGCTCTCTCGGGCCTTTCGAGAAAAGGCAAGCTTCAAAGGCCTAATAATATATTTTCTTCCTTTGTATCCCGGCTACTTCCTTCGCGTTCGCGAAGCGCTGAAAGGAATAATTTTTGTTTACCAACTAATGGTAAACAATCACCACTGAAGGCTATAATGCAATTCACTAGAGCCGTCCAACTATAAAAGTGCTTGATATGGAATAAAATTTGCGTAAAAAGCAAGAAAACGTTAGCATTTTCAATGTTTTGATATTCCTGCCTTTTATTTTCTAAATAGATTTATAAGAAATTCCATGAAAGAGTGTTGGTTCAAAGTTTCCATTGCATGGAAATTTCATAGGAACAAAAATTTGATTGTTTTGAATTTTTTAAGCAAAGTCAGTTAGAGTTATTCCAAACATTATCTAGAAAGCTTGTCTATGAGCCATTTTCTAAAACACAGTCTGATCGGACGAAGTAGAAACTACTCACATCGATTCTAGATTCACGACGTAAGTTACTTTAGAGAAATTATTACACTTGAATTGAAACCTTCAATTTAAAATGCACATCGATGAAGTATATATACATGTCAAGGACAGATTTGACGGGTTTTGAAAATAAATGTTAAGTCAATCTTATGTTTTCCAACTCAAGCAGAGCTTGAATGATCCATCTAACTTCTACATATGTACATCATGAGGTTATATTTATATATTTCTAATAAATTTGCATATGTAGGTCTCTTTACGTGTGAAAACATGAATAATAAAATATAAAATATCTCATGTTTGAAAAAACATGAGAACATATAACACAGGTAGAAATACGAGGAAATGGATGGTATATATATTCAATGTGAGTCCAAGTTTATGTCAAGACTATGTAGAGCTGGAAGTCATCAGCTACAAATGTATTACATAAATCGCAAATTACAATATGCTCTCACTTGAGTACCATAGTGGTTGTTACGGAATGGAGTGTTGTGCATTCTATTGATCTGAATTCAAGAATATTGATCTATAGAATTCAAACAGAAATTAATCCCCAGGGTGTCTTTTAGTCACGTCTGTTAACGACCTAGGGATCTCTGCCAGTATTCACCGTCGAAGGCTTATAATATCATGAAATACTCATAATTTGGTCTGAGCAATTTAAGGAGCTCTGCCTCTTACAGAACCACACGTCCGATCATGGAGATCGGACAAGACGAGACGAGATGGAGTTCGCCGTGAGCTATAGGCGTAGCTGTAATAAAGTTGTCAAGAATACAGTGATTACATTTAATGTGAATACTAGCTCGCAGAGAGGTCGAGCTGTTCGAGGGTGTAGATCCAATTCAGGTTCTATATTTATTCAGGCAGTGAAGATAGCTGACTTAATCACCCACCAATTTTCTTCTGAACATCTTATAGTTGAAAAAAGCTAGCTAAATGGTTCAATGTTTTCAAAGTTAGCATTCGTTCACAAGTAATACTGGCTGTCAATGGGATGTGATTTTGTTGGTGTGAGTAAATATATATTGGAGTGCATTGTTCCAATTTTGACTTCATTTTTCCTCTTAAGGCTGTTTCGATAAATGCTTGATAATGGGCCTTCTATAGTGTCATTTTTTCAATTTCAAAAACGGTAAAGATACATGTGACAAATATGCACAAAGATTATGATTATTTCACTTAAGATAAAAAAATGAGGTAATTTTCATGTCAACATCGTTCTTTCAAGGAACAAACATAATTCATGAATCAAGCATATATTAATAAGATAATACATCCAAATAATATGATCATCATTTCAAGTAGAGCAAGCGAAAGAGTAGCTTCACAATCAAGTTGTATTGTAGGGTTATTTGGGATTAGGTTCCAACCCTATGCTTGATTCATATGCACCCTTGTGCGCATATGACAAGCCTTATGTTTTTTTAATTTACGGCTTGTGAATGAATTCATAGACAATCAACAGTGAAGTTTGTTTATCTCCCTTTCATTAATATGTCTATGTTATAGAATATAGATTACATTCTTGATACATGGGGATGATAGCAATAGTAATGAAATTGTGAGAAATATCATATCACAAAGCAACAGATGATGTTGCAACAACAAAATAATGTTGCATTGAAACATGAACAGTACAGTCAAATTGTGCATTATATGTGTTGAACCAATTTTGTATTATAAAAGTGTTAAAAAGTATTCAAAATATATAATGTACAATCCTATCCATTATTAAACATGATCAATGTGATGAAATTATTTATTTTTAATTACATCAATATAAAACTGAAATTTTGAAGATGAAGCTTAATTATAATTTTTCATCTAAATATATTGATTTCCAATATTTAAATTTTAAAAAATCATTTTATATCGAAATTTTCTTAACAGATTTCAAATTCAATATAATAATAGAAAATTTTCAATTTACATAATTTTTTTAATCACAGACATTGAGACTCAAAATATAATATTCCTATTTGAATAGAATTCTTAAATTAGACTTGTAGATATCAATACTTGATTGACTATATAAATACTTCATATCAAAATTATGTCACTAAAATATTATTCAGAATTTTTAACAGAATCTACTATTTTTTATTTTATGTTCATCACAATTCTATCATTTTTTTATGTACATAAGTAATTTGATTTTTTTAATTGGAAATTAGATTATCCATACGATAAATAATCTAAGCCAAAATAGAATGTAATGAAGTACGATTCAATTCAAAAATACTTTTTTCATTTTTATCAAAAATCCAATGTAGACTTATTTGACACTTATATCTTAAAGCAACAGTTAGATACTTCTCTGTACTATATTATAAGCCTGCTAAGTAACATATTTTATCATTTACATCTTAACATTGCATGATGTCAGCTTCATCTAAGTCTATTTTAAGATTGAAATCTTACAACATGAATATTTAATAAAAAATAAGTTTATACTCATATTTATTAAAATATTTCGAATGTGAAAAATTTATTTAAATCAATATATATCTCTTTCGATTTTTTTGGGTCACAAGCTGTGCATTTTTAAGATACAAAAAAACAACATTCATAATTATTTTTTACTATTTAGATATTTTTTAAATATTTAGATATTTTTCACACTAAAATTATCTGTTGAATTGAAAATTTATATTTGAATACTATATATGTTAACATATAATTTTGATGATGTTTAATATTAATACAACCAAAAACTTGAAATATCAAAAAATACAACTTCCATATTAATGTAAAGATATATTGGAGTTAAGATTTATATTTGAATTTGATGTATAAAAAATTCCATCTTTTAAATTAAATAATTTGAAAAAGATATTTTCAATAATTTAAATATTCTTTAAATTATAATTGATTTTTCATATGAAGAAAGCATTGAAAATATTTGTATTAAATATCAATCTCCAATCAGGTTGATCAATATATATATTTGCATTATAAATTAATTATAAATAATACATGATTTGATTCCTTAATGTTATGTATATTATAACTAAAAATAATTTAATTATTTAGCCGCATGAAATATATGCTTACTAATAATAAAAATA